ATCTCCATACCTGGTATGCTTGTTTCTAAAACTGTAATACTGGTGATATGTATACACTTTTAACTGTATTGAAGTGTTGAACTTCGTTAAAAAAAATGTACATGAACGTTTGCCCAATTTTTGGTGCCCTTCTATGCATTTACTTTAATGTCATCTTTTAACCGAACCAATTTTTTGTGCAGGTGAAATTGGAAGAACGTATGAAGCTAATGTTGATGATGTAGATTATAGGCTTGTTGTAATTTATACACCAGTAAGAGAGGATGGAGTTGAGGGACAACCTATTTCTGTTTCAACAGAACAGATTGCAGTTGGTACAGTCAAATCACCTCTCATACCATTTCCTATTCATGTTCATTTATTGTTCACGTTATCTGGTTTGATCACTAAGTACCAGCTTCTGATTTCACTGTATGCAGAGCCTGAAATTTACAGGGAAGTGAAACAGAAGCTCGATGATGGTTCAGTCAAATTTGAGGTGACATTGATTTAATATTTCAATTTATAATGGTTTTTTGCTGGTATATTTAAAACCATCATAGTGAGCTAATATTCAATTAATAAAAATGTTAGAAGAATCTTGTTTTTATCTACTTGCACTGCTGTTGCTAACAATGAGCTTCTTAGTTGGCTATATCCCCCTCCAAATCCAAGTGCCGAATTCTGCAGTAGATTGGCCATTTCTTTCGAAAGCAATAAATTGAAGCCTGACTACCCAATCTGTGCTGTTTCCACAGCAATGCTTCTTTTAATGAGTTATCTTCAGTTCAATGCGATTTATTCCTTGTTTTTACACTTGAGCAGGTTCTGTGTGACAAGGACCGAACACCCAAAAAGGTACCCCGTGTCACAGGCTTGCAGCATGCCTGCTCACCCTGGACTCTAGCAATTCCTCAGCATAATACAGGGAGAACTAATAATTATTCGTCACAAATACAACAGGCACAAGTCATGGGTCATTTGGAGCGGAGAGTTTTGGAAGTCAACCGAAAGAGGATAAAAGTAGTAAAGCCTGGATCCAAGACATCTTTCCCGAGTACTGAAGTACGAGGAACCTATGCTCCACCGTTCCATGTGAGTTATCCCTTCAAATTCAGCAGATAGAATTTGCTGCCATTACTATGAAGCTATTATATACATGTTCTCAAAACATGGGATGTAGCTATATGGTGATAACAATGAATTGAACTTTGCAGGTTGAGCTGTATCGCAATGATCAGCACCGCTTCAAGATTGTTGTCGACAGTGATAATGAAGTTGACTTGATGGTGCAAACACGGCACATGCGAGACCTCATCATCCTCACGATCAGAGGCCTTGCCCAGAAGTTCAACAGCACCTCCCTCAACACACTTCTCAAGATCGAGGCATGAGGATGCCTACCTGATAGACCTGACAGTTTAAAATTATCTATTAGGGAAGCTGTTCCTTGTTCCAATTGATTAGAGTGCGTGTATTTAGTAGGATTCGTAGCATGACGGCTTTGTGTGTATGGGTGTGGGACGGGCCGAGCGTGCTGCATTACAGTTATTTTTTTTCCTGACTGATCTCTCAAACCAGAGCAGCATCAGCTGGTTGCTCTGACTCACGCGTCATGAAATGTACATAGGGTTGTGAGTGAAAAAGAGAGTGGTGTTTCTTAGTGCTGTATTTATTATGCACTGGTTGGGTTGGGTTTTTCGACTGCCATTCTCATACTAAGCATGTTGATGAGGTAGCTTTGCTCCTTGTTTTTTGGTCGTTCGGTTTGCATATACGTGTACCCACAACACAGTTTGAAGGTGATTGGGCGAGTGCTGTTCAGAATGCCTGTCCACATTGTGTACGACTAGAATTTTACGATGCTGTATTCACATGCGGTGTTATGCTGCAAATGTAAATTCATCTGTTCATAAACGAGAAACAAAATCGTCGGCCACGCGTATTTGTTTTCGTACGGATGTATTACGTTATAAATCAAGGCTCAATTTTGTGGACGGAAATGGCGAGGGTTTTGCTTTTAAATTTCACTGTGATATCAATTCCTTTTTCCTGTTTCACCTCTCACGTCTTTGTTCACCAAGCCTGTTAAACGGCCAGCCACCAATTCAGCAGCATTTGCAGTTGCAGCTGTTCCTTTCAGCTCAACACATTCAGCAAGCAACGTGAGAGCAGTATCTTATCCGTTCCGACGTGGCAGCTTCCCTACTCTAACCAGGAGGCGCCACGTCAGCAGCGAGGATCCTGAACCTATCCATGAATGGCCACTGCAGGCCACAAGCTTTAAGGCACTTGCGCTCCATAACCATCAGGCTGAAATACCTACCGCACCACTCTGCGTTGAGGACACGAGAGCAGCACAGACCGACGACAGGCGCCTGAAATATCTTCCTTTTTCTTTTTCTGTTGCATTGATTTTTTTGGTCTTCCGTGGAAATGCGATCCTCGACGCACACGGATATAATCCTAGTATGATAGAAAAGCTGACTCCTAATCTTAGGTAAAGTTAGACAAGAAAGTGTAATTGACTCTGAAGTTAGGTGAGCAATCTTAAGCTGCGATCCCATAAACAGTTAACATGCCCATATAACTTTCTTTTTGGATATATTTATTTACTACTCCTACCTGGACAAACAGTGAAACAGGGCCGGGTAGACCTCAGTTTGATCAGGAAATAAAATAGAGGGCAGAGAAGGCAGGACTAGTAGAAGAGAAACAAATGAAAAAAAGGCATTCCTTAATCAGTTAATCCCTTCGCGACTTAGGATGTTGATCTCTAAGGGCCTAAGGTAGTGATGAAAAAATAAGTTAGTTTGATAAACTATTAAATTCATTTTCCCTCCGGCCTGAGATGCCATTGACCAAATTGGTGCCGGCTGCTTATGTACAATTGTACAAGCTAGTGCTCTCAACGATTTCTTGGCATACTCTCGGGGTGTGAGTGTAATGTGCCATCCTTGTAATAATAATATTAAAAAGGAAATGCCCTGATCAAATGCATGAGCATGATTGAACTTGGTGAGGTTAAACCCCTGAAGATATCTGATCTTCCTTTAATTTCTCAGAGTAAAAAAAGCAACTCGTTTATATACTGATTTTGTAACATCCGGATATCCATGAACATGTGCCCGAACCTTCCAAATTAGCCCCTGCGTCGCCCCGCACAGGCGACTCGGGCGGCGGCCAACCCTAGCCGCCACCGCCGACCCTCCATCCCCTCCCCTCCCCGCCTCGCCGCTGCCGGAGGGGACCGCCGGGATGCTCGCGCGGCTCCCAAGGATGGCGGCGGCGGGGCCTTCTCCCAAGCAGGCTGCGAATCCCTCCGTGCGGGGATGGATCTCGGCGGTCCGGGCGGTGCTGCGGCGCCGTGGCTACGCGGAAGGCGGGCAACGGCGGCGCCTGCAACCATTTTCCCATTTTCCATAGTAATGAAAATGCTCTTGGCTCGACATAGTCTGTTCTATTCGTCCCTCCCGAGCCCCTCCCCTCCCTCCCTCTTCACCGTCGACAATGGCGGCTTGGGCGGCCGGCAGGGCGGATCTGGGCCTCCCGGGTCTCGACCGATAGCCTCGTGGGCGGACGCCACCACTGTTGGCCGGCTCCTAGGGGCCTCACTCGTTGTGCCCCTCAGGGAGCTTTACCTCTGGCGGCGGCGCGCCGGCCAAAGAGCTTTCGGCGTTAAGGACCGTTGGCCTCGGATCCGGCGACCAATGCCACGATCCGCACGCGGCGGGTGAAAGGCCATGCCACCGGCGTGCGTCGTGGCCGTTGTCGCGCAGCCGTTGATGGCCGGCTTGCCGCACCACCACAGCCACACTTCTTTGGAACATCGCTGGGCCGGGTGGATGTGGCGACGCGTCCAACTCGGCCGATCCGGCGGCGGCGGCGGGGAGTCGCTTGATTTGTGGGCGTCTCGCCACGCCCCCGCTTCTTCGCTTCTCCGGCGGGGCGTGGCGGCGGGGCAAGGGCAGCGCCGATCTGGCCGGTCGGGGGCTTTCGGCCGGCGGTCGTGCCTTTTGGCGCCCATTCTGCTGGTGTGGTGCCGCTTTGTGGGTGCCATGGGGCTGCTCTCATGGATGTACAGAGTCGGTGTAACTCCGCCGGTTCCTCCGTGGAACCAAAGCCAACGGCAGATGGACGCAACATGCGCCATTTACCTTCCCGGCGCTGCTGATGATTCGGTGTTCCGGTAGGTTAGGGTTGAAAGACCTACTCGTGTGCTTCTCCAGCGATGTTGGCGTCCGTGGATGTCATTATCCTTCATGAAGTCATCGCTGGTGCACTTCTGCAGCATGCCTTACGCTACTCTTGCCGGAGCCGCTCCGTCGTCTGCTATGCCTCTGTGTGCTTCAAGCTCATCTTCGCTTTGATCTGTCTATCTCGGGTGTTGGTGTTGCCGCAGTCGTGTATTTCTTTGCAGCGGCTACCTGGTCGCTGGCGGATACGTCGCCTTCTTCGCAGCGGCTACCTGGTCGCTGGCGGATACTTGTCGCCTTCTTGTTTGCAGCGGCTACCTGGTCGCTGGCGGACATTGTCGCCTTCTCCTCCGCAGCGGCTACCTGGTCGCTTGGTGGATGGATGCTGTGCTCTCCGCAACGGCTACCTGGTCGCTTGCGGATGGATGCTGTGCTTTCTACCGGTGGATGCTTTGCCACCACGGCTTCACCCACCCTCTGTTGGCGACCATTGCGCGGATGTATTTTTCTTGGCAGGCATAGTCAGTTGGTCTGTTGAGGTGGAGGTTCCCCTCCTGTTTTCTTACAGTTTGTTTGTGTCTTTGGGATTCCGTCGGTAATCCTTGGATTACTTGGGATTCCTTTGTATCCGTATTTTGGCCTTTCTTATGGCCTTTCCTCTTAATGAAAAACGGATAAAAGATCCGATCGAGAAAAAAAATGATTAACAAGCATATACATAGCTTCTGAAACTCTCCCAAATAGCTTTGCGGAAGCTAACAACAAGTGAAATCCTCATCTTTGGCCAACATATACCAGCACATCAAAATATCATGGCTACTACTATTAAAGAGGAAGGTCTAGACCCTTGCCCACCTCCACCCCAATCATCTGAAGAATCCCCTTGTTTAGCACCTGGAAATCAAGAAGCCAATCGAACCTTTTGAGAAACTAAAGGTGAAACAAGCAACACTGCAAACATTACATTATGTTTGTGAAGATAGATAATGCAGTGAATTTCCTTAATTACCAGCTCCACAATGAAGGTGCCGATGAGGCCAATCATGCAGGCCCTGGAGTTCCAGATCTCGGCAGTCTGGGTGAACCCCAAGAAGGGCTCGCTCAGCTTGGGCTGCACCCTGGGCACTTCAACCTGAACACAACCGAAAATGAACTGCAGCTAACTGTAGAAAAGAAACTCTTTTTTTGCAGTTACCAGAAGCATCCTTTTCTTGTGTCACTCACCCCTGGAGGAAGCTTTGCAGCACTCGCTCTCAGAGCAAGGGCTCTTGGTCTTGGCGATGGCAGGCACGGAGCAAGTCTCTTGCGGCAGAGGGGTCGATGAGCCAAGAAGGATGGTGCGGAAAGAGCACACTTTGCTGCCATTGCTGGGATTGTTCATGTAAACCCCGATATTTTTTACAAAAAGTTAGAAGTAAATAGGCATCAAACAGTTAAATAGCTTGAGGTTAGAGTTTAGGAACTCGGTTTGACACAGCAGGCAGGGAAGAGAAGGGCCGGGGTGGGAATACCTGGCGGGCGCTCTTCGCCGGCGAAGGCCTCGGCACCTGGCGTAGGGCGGTGGCGGCGGTAGCCCACCCAACCGTCGGAGACAGAGAGGAGAGAGAGAGAGAGAGCGAGCGAGCGCACGGCTTTGTTTCACCTCACACGAGTCTTGGTTCACACAACTAAGCGGGACCAGCAGCCGTAGGCTGTAGCTCTCTCAGTCGTCTCAGCTCGACACATTGAGCAAGCAACATGAGAGGAGGAGAGCAATATCTTATCCGTTACGATCGACGTGGCAGCTTCCCTGCTCTAACGAGGGGACGCCACGTCAGCAGCGAGGATCCTGAACCTATCTACGAGTGGCCGCTGCAGGCCACAAGCTGGCCTTGTGGCCACAAGCTTTAAAGCACTTGCGCACCATAACAAATCACGCCTGAAACACCTACCACACCACTCTGCACAGACCGACGACGACACAGGCGCCATACATGGCCTCCCAGCTCTCCGCCGCCGCGTCCATGTCCGCCGCCGCCGTGCCGCAGTTCCACGGCCTCCGGGGCTACGCCTCGCCCAGGTCCGCGGTGAAGATGCCGTCCATGAGGGTGGGCAGGAAGAGGTCCCAGGGCATCCGCTGCGACTACATCGGCTCCGCCACCAACCTGGTATGTATGTCCTGCTCGTGCGTGCATATCGTCGGACACGGTCGGAGCGAGAGTTTGATGATGACCGATCAGTCGATCACTGATGGCGTGTGCATATATGGTATGCAGATCATGGTGACGACGACGACGCTGATGCTGTTCGCGGGGCGGTTCGGGCTGGCGCCGTCGGCGAACCGGAAGGCGACGGCGGGGCTCAAGCTGGAGGCGCGCGACTCCGGGCTGCAGACGGGCGACCCCGCCGGGTTCACCCTCGCCGACACACTGGCCTGCGGCGCCGTCGGCCACATCCTCGGCGTCGGCATCGTGCTCGGGCTCAAGAACACCGGCGCCCTCGACCAGATCATCGGCTAGATCCCTACGTTGTTAAGCTGTGAGGCTCACGAGCCTCGATCGCGCCGCCGGCGCCGGTGCCTATGTAACGTGCGTGTGTGTAGTACATTGTTTTGTGCGCGCATGCGTACGTCTCGTTCCAATGGACATAGCTCTTGCTCCTTTTGCGTGGCCCCGATTGGATGAGTTGTACGAGATTCCATTCCAGGTCATAGTCGGAAAAAAAATCTCACATAGGGATGGAAGGCTGGCAAGTGCCCAACTCCCAAGAGCAAGAAGCTTACGGATGGAAGGCATAAATCTATTGGTTTGGGCCTTGTGTGCCATACAGCGCAGTTAAATCACGTCTATGGGCCGGGCCACGGCACTAGAAGGAGATTGGAGACGGTTACGGATTTCCTTTATGGCCTAATATAATAATAACAATAATAATGAGAAGAAAATAATCTCACAAAAGGTTTGCTTACTGCAGAGCAGTTATTAATATTAATCCTATACTCTTGTAAAGCTAAACCTCACTAGGTATTTCTCTCAATATGCAAGCTATCCACATCAACGATCCATTAGAACTTGCAATTATAGCCAACTAGCACATGTAATTATGATAATTATCTCTTCATCCAGTAACATGCATTTAGCTGTCCACATCGATGTGTCAAACTATTCACCAAAATTAATTTAAGATAGTTTCATTCATATAACTATAAATATAAATAGTCTAATTTCTTTTTAAATTATCTGAAATCCTCGCAGCAACGCGCAGGGTATTCTCCTAGTTATAATAGTCTACGAATCATCTGGTTGATGACCATGGGACATGCGGACTGAAACGCCCTAAAAATTTCCCTTTTTGAAGTAGATGAAAATTGATTTAATTATGCAATTTTGTGCTCATAAAAACATAGAAAAATAATATTTTTCCTTAAATTAAAATTTATCATAAGGCTTAGCTACATGTTGGTGTATTCATGCTGATTTATACCTATTTTGTGATGCTTGGGTTTGATCAAAATTTGCAAAAAGATTTAAATTTGAATTAAATTTAGATTTGAAAATGGTTTGGAAATAAAAGAAAAAAAAAGAAAAGAAAAACACTCCCTCTCATTTCTAGCCCAGCTCGGCCTCCTCCTCCTTTCCCTCTCACCTTCAGTCTGGCTAGCCCCACCCCGCTGGAAGCCCATCCCGCAGCCGGCCCAACTCATTTTTCCCCGCTAGCTTCCCGCTCGGCCCCCTTCATTTCTTCACTCGCGGCCGCTCTCCTTTCTCCTCGGCCCAACAGTCCGAAGCGGCCCAGCGACACGTCATGCATCCCTTCTCCGCTCGTGGGCCGGCCCAACCAAGCTGCGCACATCGGCCCAGTCGCACGCTGCAGCCGCTCCCCGTCCTACTTCCTCTCCGCTCTCTCTCATTGCTAGCCAGGCCTAGTCGCTAGAGTCGTCTTCTACCTCGTGGCCGCCCAGGACTCTCCGCCGCACCATGGAAGCCAACTCCACTCCGCCCACACCTCGCCGTTGCCGTGCCTCCCAAGCATCCCACACCCCTTAAATAGGAGGGCCGTGTCGCCCGCATCGCCCCCCGCATAACCCTAAGCTGCCGTGCTCGCTGAATCGCCTCACCTGAGCTCGCAACCCTAGCCATCGAGTCGCCATCACCCTGCCGAGCAGCGCGCCATCGCCGTCCACTCCACGCCGCTGGAAATCCACCTTGGTATGTTCGCCTCGCCGTCCTCTCTATTTCCGAGCAATCCTCGGGTCCAACCGTGGCCTCTAGGGCCAGTTTCGTGTTTACCGACGTGCTTCTCACTGCCGACCATGTCCTCCGCCACCCGCGGCCCTGTTCCAGCTGTCGGCCACACCTTCCCTTCCCCCTGTCTGATCTCGTCCGTTCGTTCTCAGATCAGCGGTCGAGATTGCACGATACCTCTTCGGCCGGCATACTTTCAAAAGAGTCCCTGCCCTTTTCTAGAATAGAACCCGCAGTCCACTCCAGATTCAAAATTCCAATTTTATTTATTTTAATTCGAAATAGAAGATCCACTTATTTACAGTTTTGCCACTAATTTTCTTTAGGCCATAAAATCTTCGTTTTAACTCTGTTTTGACCCGTTCAAGTTGCGTTAGATTCGTAATTGAGTAATCTAAATGTTCATCTTACTGTTAAATATATTTTCAACTTTTGAAATTCGAGGTTAGATTTAATCTATTATTTTATTAAAGGAAATCTTGTTTAATTCATAACTTCTTGGTTATAGATCTGATTTTCGTGATTTTCACGTCTGTGTGTACGTAGCGAGACGTAGATTCATTTTACAAACTTTTCATTTTGATTTTATGTTTGGTGTACTGTTCTAATTTAGATCTATTATTTGCTTCGTGTATGATTGCATGGATGCTTGTGTGGTTGTCGATAGAATATCGTCGGCAGTCCTCCGAGGGGTATCCCACGAAGGTAGATTGACCGGTAGAGATGCGTGTAATCGAGAACAAGAAGGCAACAGAGACACAAGAGTTAGACAGGTTTGGGCCGTCAGCACGACGTAATACCATACTCCTCTGGTCTGTTGGATTGTATTGGCTTCATATGATCTTGCGTGTGTTTTGAGGGGGTCCCTGCCTGCCTTATATGGTCTGGGGGCAGGGTTACAAGTCGGTTAGATCTAGGAGATAACCAGAAAGTAATAACAGATTACGTGAATCATGGGACCGAACGTATTCTAACAGATCTCATAGTATCTTTAGGTTATTGCCCTTGATGTCTTGCGGTGCACGCCGAGCAGTGCCGTGCACCGTAGGTCTTCGTCTTGTGGGCTAGACCGCCCCTAGAGCGTAGCCCATGTAGTCTACCGTGGGTATCCAGGGTCGTACCCCCCACAGCTAGTCCCCGAGGGCCTTGTATCCGATGTGCAACGCCGTCTTGAGCTTGTCCGAGCAGGTGTGAACAAAGCTGAGCAGTCAGACTCATAGTCCGACCACCCTAATGAGTCACCGAGCAGTTGTGAACCGTCGCCGAGCAGAGTATCCCAAGTAAGGCTTGCCAGAAGGATGTAAGGAGCTCAAGTTCAAAAGCGGAAATTTTCTCGTTGTGAACTAAGTGTGCCCACTTAGAGTCCAACCACGAGAAAGGGAGACAGTATTCCTCAATTTTAGGAGGTGCGAAGTCTTTTAGATTAAAGCAAACACACTCACTACAAGGTGAAGTGTGCCCACTTAGTCCCTAAGCCTGACAATAGGTGACGCAGTCATGTGGTGCCAGGGTCTAAAGTAGATGAAAAGCAGAAGACCAGCCGAGCAGGCAGCCGGTTCCTAGGGGGAGCCCTGAAATGAGAAATGCACATTCACCACAAGGTGAAGTGTGCTCACTTAGTCCCCGAGCCTGACAGTAGGTGACGTGGTCACGTGGTGCCAGGTTCAGAAACAACAGTAACCAGAAGAAAAATCCCCACTGTGGTGAGGAACCAAGTCGTATTGATGACGTAGTCCCCGAGCCATAAGTAGAAATATCGGAGAAATCAAATCGTGGAGAAAAAACCGGAGTAATGGCGGTACAGTAGAAATTACTGAGCCTTGATGGTGTTACGGAGAAGTTGGCGAATATTCGGTGTGCAGTTCCATGTTGCGGTGAAAAATGGGTGATATGGGCTGCAGTTACGCGGAAGCCCAGATAATGGCCCACCACACCGCTTCGGGGAATTCGGAAAGGCGCAAATCGTAGTGCGGTTTCCCAAAAACCCTTAAATGCGAAAAGTGGGTATGATTTCTTTATAACTGCGCCGTCGCACTCTGTGCTCCCACCTTCGCCACTTCGCCACTTCATCTTCCCCCTCAGCCCTCGCGCTTCCCGATTCGCATTCACACGCGCTTCCACCGCCAGTCCCAATCCAGATCTGAGAGATGGCGCCGAAGAGGGGAGGTGGTAACCCGAAGAAGGCGACCACCAGAGCAAGCCATGATAAGGAATGGGTGCCATCGCTCATGGGGGAGACAAAACTCAACGGGATGGTGGAGGCGGGCGTTCTTCCTGATCGTGTCAATGCCGGATGGCGTCCGACCGACAGTGAGCCCTACCCGATGCTGCATACTAACGAAGTGGTAGTTTTCGAAGATTATTTCTAGCGTGGATTAGGACTTCCTGTTCATCCTTTCTTGCGCAATCTGTTGGAGTATTGGGGAGTAAGCCTGTGCAATCTGCATCCGAATACTATCTTGCATATTGCTATCTTTATCCACTTCTGCGAGGCGTATCTCGGCATTCTGCCCCACTTCAACCTCTTCTGACACCTGTTCTGGCTGAAGAAGAAGGGCGGGGGCGGTTCTAGAGTGGTCGACGGTGTGTATCTGTAGCTCCGCGATGGGATGGTGGGCGAGTACATTGTTGTGCCGCTGAATACCTCGCTAAAGGGGTGGAATGCCAGGTGGTTCTACATGAAGCAAAGCCATCCTGCCATCAGATGCGACGTCGACCAGGTTCCGGAGAACCAGAGGAGCTGGTCGAAGAAGCCGACCAGTGCTGATATGGATCAGGTGAAGGAGCTCCTCGAGCTGATGAGGGGTATTAAGATGAACGGAGTGGCTGTGGCGGTGAGCTTCATAGTGCGCCACATCCAGCCCTGCAAGGAGAGGGCCCACACGGGCTTTGACTTCAAGGGGGACACTGATGGCACCCGGTAGAGGACGGAAAGGCTGACGAGGGACGCCGTGCTGCATCGGGCCATAGAGCTATTCACTCCAAACGCGCCGTACAACGTGCCAGGGCAGTCGAGGGCCTTCAACTGCACGAACCCACCTCCTCAGGTAAAAATCTCGACTGTTGGTCATGGTGTTTTTTATCATGTGTTGTGCCGAGCAGTGAACTGATTCGCTTGTGGAAAGATGCATTTGCAGGAACGGACGACGTACTTCTCGGGCGTGCCGAGGAGCGATTGGCCGAAGGTGGTAGACGCCAGCCAACCACTTAGCCGGAGGAAGGTGCCGTCAGCACCTCATCCGAATCCAGAGGTGCAGGTGCTGGTCGGATGGAGAGTC